TAGGTTCAAATTGCAGTTATTGGTCAGGAGTAACTTTGTCTCCCATTTGGCACTGAGGAATGCCCAGAGACATTTTTGACTGACACACAGGGGAGATGTTGTTAGAATTCAGGGATGCTGCAGAACATCATAAAAGGCACAGGGTAGTTCTTACCACACAGAATCACCTGGCTCAGATTGTCAATTGTGTAGAAATTGAGAAACCTAGAGATAATCATACCTGTACCTTTAATTTTATATCTGTCTTCAAATTGTCTCTGTAATGCATGGTAGCAAGTTACATTTTTGCTACCAAATTAGAGACTACCTCTTTTCTATCTGTTTAATAATTGCAACCCCAATCAGTGTACTGATTCTTAGGTCCTTCTCCCCCGCCAAAGTTGGAGTGGGCAAAGCTATTTCTTTTTGTTTTCTTAATCTATTGCTGACTTTGAGCAAGTACTTATATATTTATCACCATTTAGATTTCTTGTTATTATTATTTGTTCACTTCTTACTTTTTCTAATGTTTGAAGTAATCTTAACATATTATTGTCTCGCTATTGGTTTTGAGAATGATATTTTTGACCATTAAAAAGCTTAAAATTTCATTTAGTTATGCATATCTACCTTCTTATCCCTGAGTTTCTTCCCTTAATATAGTTTTGCTTAGCCTAGATTTTACATATTATTTCTTGGTGTTTATATGAAATGCATTTTGTACTTTTACACTGGGCTCTCTCCCTTCTGGATTTTGTTTGAAGACCAACTTCATTTTCTTCCTGGAAACAATTTATGTCAGCTTTCATCCCACAACCCAATCCATTCTTACTAAGAAGAGATTTAACTTTGTTGTATATTAAATGCCCACATATACTCAGACTTAATTCTTGATTAATTGAACAAATGATAACTGGATGTCTATTACATACCAAATATTACAGGACCATGATATGTTATGATCTAACATGTCAAGACCTTTGTCAGTTTAATTATTAATTTATGTTGATATCTTCAATTTGTTGCTGCTTTATGTCTTGGACTAGTCATTTTCTTGTTGTTGTGACTCTGGGGATGGAATTCAGGGCTAGGAAATTGCTCTACCTCTCTACTACTCTTTTTTTAGTTAGTTTTTGAGGTCTGAATAATTTTTTAAAAATACACTTAAAAAACTCTGTTTAGCTTGTAATTGTTTTAATTATATAAATTCTTATTTTCTGAAATTTGTTTCTATGTAATTGCATTTATATAAGTACTTACCTTTGAGAAAATGAACAAAGAAGGTGAGGTCTGTGCTCACTTGGATCTTGTACTATAATGACATAGACTGAGTAGAGTGAAATAAATTTGTGCGTGGCTCAATACCTTCATAGGAAAAAAAGAATTGAATTGCCATTGACATAAGCAAGGTTTTATGGAGAATAAGCTGGAAATGCTTTTGCATGTTTAATACCAGAACTAGGGCTAGACTGTAGCTGTAGGTTTTTTTTTTCCATAAAAGAGATTAAAATCCAGAGCCCAAGAAAAACAAAGAAAAGACGCCATATATAAAAAATGAGAAAGATGCCATATATAAAAAATGAGAAAGTGGCGGTTTTCTACCAACACTGGACCACGTCAGAAATGACTGGTAAAGTATGTATGGAAAAGGATAGGAAAAACAAATTCTTCTGTTCATATAAAAATATATTCCAATTTTTTTGTACTTTGTCAATTTTAGTTTATTCCCTTTGGTCCCTTTTCACCTGTGGTCATTTTCTTACATGGTGTTTGAAATTATAAATATTTCACAACTTTTGACTTTGGCTATATTTATTTTTGCTGACCTATTTTTGCAGGGCATCAGGAGATACAATCTTGGTTGGATGGAGCCACAGCTTAGTGTGCATTTTCTTCCTTTCAGTCTTTCAGTAACAATCTGAGTTTATTATCTTATTTACTCTAGTATCAATTTTATTTCCATTTCTTGATCTTTGCTTATTGAAATGACTTTTTTGGATATGTTTCTTTAAACGCAGAGCAGAAGCTTAAAAGGCACTAAAATTTAGACCTATGGTTATTTGTTCATGGAAGGCTTACAAATGGATATCTGGGTATTGTAATTAAATTAGGTGGAAGATAATCTGGTCTGGCCAAGTTACACTGCATACACTAGTAGCCTAAACAGTGTGCTGAGATGGTCAGATGATCATAGTGGTTATGGTAGAGTGTGTGTGTGTATTTGTGTGTGCATTCCTCAGAGCAGAGCTACATACACTCCGTTTTCCCAGGCAAGCCTTATATGCGGGGCCGGGGGGAGGGGGCTTTGCTGCCAGTGGCGGTAAGTTGGGTCTCCATTGTAATTCACAGGATGCCTTTGCAACGCAATGTGCAAGAAATACATAGTATGGATGAAGGTCTCCCTCTATTTTCTAGTTTTAGCACCACCTCATCTTCCAACACCATCTTTCATCAAAATCCCTTTTTTCATTGACTTCCCACACTGGTTCCTTGATAGTCTTGAAAATCTTAAAACAAGAACCCATCTCAGGGACTTTCCACTGGCTTTTCCTTCTGCCAAGTAAAATTTATGCAGAGAACCTGCTGTTTTTGCTCTGTCTTCTTGAAGTCTCTGTTCAAATGTTACCATCTCTGCTGATCTTGCCTGGACACCCAGAACAAATAGCATCCCCAGGATCTAGGAATGCATGTCAGTGGTAGAGTACCTACTTAGCATGAATAAAGTCCCATGTTCAGTGCCCAGCATAAACACACACACACACACACACACACACACCATCATCATTGTCATTGTCATCATAATCATCATCTCCTGTCTCTTCTCTTTCAAACCTTTTATTTTCTTTATGGAGCCTTGATCAGCTGCATGTTACATGATCATCTCTGTTTTTAAATAGAGGCTTAATTGAGATTTAAAGAGTAACATATATCTAATATGTTAAATTCCATTAGTGTGCATATGCAAGTATATATGATAACTTCACCAAAAAATGGTAATGATATGTGATGTTTTTATTTGCATATATTCTTTGTCATCCTTTGGGATGTGGGAAATTTTATTTTTCAGCTTTTACTAATCATTTCCCAGACAGTACATAGAACATGGTCATCACTCAGTATATATTTCTCCATTGTAAGAGATAATTTCTCAGGCAAACTACAAAAGATATGATTTTCTGGAGAGACGGCTCAGAGTGGGACAGAAATTTCAAATCAGGAATGCCACTAGGAATTCCTTAAGGGGACCAGATTCATAAACAAAGTATAGAAATGGAATTATAGACTAGGAAACTTAATTTGTGGAATTTCAGCAATATTAGTACTATAGATCTGTTTGAACAATACTTGTGTTATTTTTCTTTTTCCTGATAGTTGCATCCACCACATGGAACAAGAGAACAACACCAGAATTTCAGAATTTTTCCTTCTGGGATTTTCAGAGGATCCAGAACTTCAGTCCCTCATATATGGACTTTTCCTCTCCATGTACCTGACCACCATGCTTGGGAACCTGCTCATCATCCTGGCCATCATCTCCGACTCCCACATGCACACACCCATGTACTTCTTCCTCTCCAACCTCTCCTTTGTAGACATCTGTTTCACCTCCACCACTGTGCCCAAAATGCTGGTGAGCATCCAGACACAGAGCAAGGCCATTACCTATACGGGCTGTATTACTCAGATATATTTTTTCTTGATCTTCGCAGAGTTGGACAATTTCCTTCTGGCTGTGATGGCCTATGACCGCTTTGTTGCCATCTGTTATCCCCTGCACTACATGGTCATCATGAACCCCTGGCTCTGTGGCTTCCTCGTCCTGGGGTCCTGGCTTGTGAGTGTCCTGCATGCCTTATTGCAAAGCTTAATGGCTTTGCAACTGTCTTTCTGTGCTGATTTAGAAATCCCACACTTCTTCTGTGAACTCAATCAAGTGGCCCAAATTGCCTGTTCTGAGAGCTTTCTTAATGACCTTGTGATGTATTTTGCACCTGTGCTATTGGCTGCTGGTTCCCTCACTGGCATCCTTTACTCTTACTCAAAGATAGTTTCCTCCATCCATGGAATGTCATCAGTTCAGGGGAAGAATAAAGCATTTTCCACCTGTGTGTCTCACCTCTCAGTTGTCTCTTTATTTTATGGCACAGGCCTGGGGGTGTACATTAGTTCTGCCACAGCCCATAGCTCACACTCAAGTGCAGTAGTTTCAGTGATGTACACTGTGGTCACCCCCATGCTGAACCCCTTCATCTACAGTCTGAGAAATAAAGATGTAAAGAGAGCTCTGACAAGACTCTTCGGAATGAAACTGTAAGAGAATCCATTGCTGAAGAAGCACCTGTGATTGCAGGGATCCAAACCTTAGAGCCTGGAGTTGTCATTCTTTGATCAGATTGTGAATATAAACTCACTCTTTTTGTGTTTTTCTTGGAATTTCCATTACTCTGATTTCAAACTTTCTAAAAATATAACCAACTCAATTTTAATTAATTATTTATATTAATGCATATCAATCATACAGTATAATGCATTTGATTTTTGGCATATTTGTACATGCAGTGACATGCTTTATTCTTCATTTTTTGTTCCTATTACTCTACCCTAACCTCTTTCTCTTTCCACTGATTGCTTTCCTATTTAATAATCTTCTTTCTACTTTCACATCACTTTTTCTTTTTTAAGTTCCACTTAGAAGAGAAAAACTTGAAATAATTTTCTTTTTGAGTCGTTTATTTTGCTTAACATAATTGTCTCCCATTCACCCATTTCCTGCAAAACGTATAATTTTATTGCTTTTTTATAAGTCTATCTATCTATCTATGTATCATCTATCATCTATGTATCTATGTATCTATCTATCATCTACCTACTTAAGTATGTATTTCATATATATCACATTTTCTGATCAGAACCTGGGCTGATGCCATATCCTGGTTACTGTGAGTTGCACCACAACAAACATGGTTCTATAGGTATCTCTCTAGTATAATAATTTTCATTCCTTTGCTTATGTACTGAGGATTGTTACAGTTGACTCACATGGCAGCTGCATTGTCGTTTTTCAGGAACCTCTATATTGATTTCTACAGTACCTTATAACCTGCTAACATACACTCCCTCCAACCAAAAATAAAATCATTTTCTTCCCACATCTACATTTGTACTCTTGATGATACTTATTCTGACTGGGGTAAAATGGATCTCAATATACTTTTGATTTTCATTTTCCTAATAGTTAAATATTAAACATTTCCCATATAACTATTGACCGGTTGCACTTCTTTTGATAAGTGTCTGTTCAGTTAATTTGCCTATTTATTAATTGTATTATATTTATTAGATTTGGTGTTATTTTTTGGGTTTATTATATATACTTTTTTTGTCATGTAGCAGAAACTTGGTGACCATTGACTTTTTATTTTAAAGAGAATAAATAATATCAAAATAACAACAACATAGACAAAAACAAAACAACACAAAAACAATAAAAATGATACAGGGTTTCAAAACAAAATGATAGGAATTAACAGTGGCTATTATATTACATATTGTTATCTGCAACAAATTTGCTCAGATTACCAGCTGTAAGAATGCCAGATCGATCAAATGTTTTCTATTATTATTTTTAGTTCTCTTTATATATTCTTGATACTGTTTTCACAAGAGTACTTGGCAAAGATTTTCTCCTATTATGTAGGATGTCTCTGTTGTTTCCTTTGTTGTGTAGAAGCTTTTAAATTTCATCTATTCCCATTTGTTGTTTCTTGCTATTATTGCTTGGGCTAGTGAAGATCTTTTCAAGAAGTCATTACTTTAGCTTATAACCTGAAATGATTTCCCTAGACTTTTCCCACTAATTTCAAAGTTTCAGGTCTTATACTTAGAATTTGATGTACTTTAAGGTAATTTTCATATAGGGCAAGAGATAGATATTTAGTTTCAATTTGCTACATATGAGTATCCAGTTTCCCCAGCATTATTTTTTGAAAGGTTGTCTTTCCTCCAAAGTATATTTTTGGAATCTTTGTCAAGAACCAGAGGGCTTTAGGCACATGGGTTTATTTCTTTGTCCTCTATTCAGTTTCATTGGTGTGCATGTCTGTTTTAATGTGCCAAGCTGTTTTGTTACATTGTGAATTATAATTTGAAATTGAGTCAAGGGATATCGAGAAAGGCAAGAAGCATCTGACTTCCCATTTTTCTCAGCACCAGCTGGAGCGAACGTGTGGCTTGGCTGCCTTCCCCCTCACTTCCCTTTGCTCCCTCTCTCCTTCCAATCACTGGGACAGTTTGTTTCAGTGTCCTGCCTGGCTAGTTAGCCGTGTCCTTCTGGCTATCAAGGCGCCATTCTCCACTCCAACATGAGCACAGCCAATCAGGGTCATGCCCATCCCCCTCTCGGGCCACTTTAGATGCTTCTGCTGCCTTTTTCCATAAGAGAAGGGGCACTTTAACATAACTAAAATCAGGGAAGGAAGGATCTGGGCTCCTTATTACCTGATCTTCACTGTAAACCACCCAGAAGATTCCTTGGTTTCAGGACTGCCCTTCATTGACACAGGCCTTCAGCTGCTCCATGGTGTAAGTACCACTCAGCCGCTACGTCCTGGGTTAGTTTAGGAGGGCTCCTTTGTGTATATTGACCCCCTGTGCTGAAGAACGGGCCTTTTAAAAATACAAAATTGTTTTGGTTGTCCTGTAAACTTGTTTGTGAATTATTTCTTGGATAGTGTGGGTTCCAAAATTTGTGTAAGTCTACTTGAGATTTTTTTACTGGGTAGTGTGGTGGGAGCGGTCATCTCAGTAGAAAGAGGAATAACCAGTAAGAGCTATTAGCACTGATGAGTTCCAGAGACCAGCAGCCAACACAGCCAGTACCTGAGACCAATACCTGACAGTGTTGATCTGTGGTGTCTGGCACAAGCTGGTATCAGATGATGATGGGTAAGCACTGTAACTGGCAGCTACTGCAACCAGCAGCTGGCTGTGTGAGCTGTTGGCCTACAGCATTATCTGGGGTCACCTGGTTACATCAGGACCACTAGGAGAGCTTCCCTTTGCTGATTCATGATGTCATTCTGAATTGAGCACCACAACCCTTGGCTGATTAGCAATACTTCCAGAATTATTTCTTTTGCTCAGGATTACTTTGGCTCTTCTGGATCTTTTGTTGCCATATAAGTTTTAGGATCACTTTTTGTAGTTGTTTTAGGAATGTTCATTGATATTTTTGGGAGTTTGCATTGAATATATGGGTCAATTTCATTAATAAGGCTATTTTAATCATATTAATTCTACTGATCCAATGTTAATTGTGCTGATGCATTTTATAGTTTTCTTCAATTTTTTTCTTCACTGCTGTGTAGTTTTCTTTACAGAGGTCCTTCACCTCTTTAATTAGGTGTATTCAGAGGTTTCTTGGAAGATACCGCCAATGAAATTGGTTTCCTTTTTTATTTCTTAGTGGGTTTGTTATGGGTGTATAGAAACCCTGTTGATATCTTCTGTTGATTTTGTATTCTGCTAAGCTGCTGCGTTAGTTTATCAGATATAAATGCCTTCTGGTAGAGGCACTAGTGTCTTCTAAGTTCATATTGTCTGGAAATAGGGATAATATGACCATTTATATTCCTATTTGATACTTTTTATCTTTTTCTTTTGCCTAATTGATCTGACTAAAATTCAGCTACTATGTTCAACAGCGGTGGTATGAGGGGATACTTGGGTTCCCTTCATGATTTTAGAGGAAATGCTTTTAGTTTTTCCCTATTCATTATAGTGGCTATGGTTCTGCTATGTGTGACCTTTACTATGTTGTGATGTTTCTTCTATACTTAGTTTCTTCATGGCTCAGATCATAAAGGCATGTTGAACTTTACTGGAGGCTTTTATTGTCTATTTTTAAAAATTTAATTAAGTTTATTGGTGCAATTCAGGTATAGACAATGATTACATTCATCATGGGGAATTTGTACCTATACAGGATATACCTTGATTTGTCTTTTTTTTCCCTCTGATTCTCCTCCCATCCCTTCAGCTCTTCTTCTGCTTCTCACTTACAAAGCATTGTTTCCATTTTATTATTCTTTTCTCAGTTTTTCTTTTCTCTTCCTTCCTTTACACCTCCCCCTCCCCAGTTCCCCTTTCCTTTTGAACAAAGTCCTCTTATTTCACAATACCTATTGTACAATTTGGTTCTTATTTACACTTTCAGTTTCTCACTCTAGAGGTACAATGTGATATTTACACATGTGTGTCCAATTTATTTCCCTTACGAGTATGGTCTCAAGGTCTATCCACTTAGCAATAAATGTCTCAACTTTATTGTTCTTTATGGCCAAGTAGTACTCCATTATGTAAAAAAACCACATTTAAAAAAATCCATTCCTTGGTTAATCGGCATTTGGGTTGTATCCAAGATTTAGCTATTACAAACTATGCTGCTATGAACAGCAATATAAACATATATTGCTGTGGTATGAGGCTTTTAATTTTTTGAGAAGATACCAAGAAAGGTAATAGCTCAGTCAAATGGGATCTCTAGTTCTAGTTTTTTGAGGAATCTTCACACTGGTTTCCACAGTGGTTGCACTAATCTGCACTCTCACAAACAGTGAAAAAGTGTTCCCTTTTCCCCAAAGCCCTGTCAGCATTTGTTATTGCTTAATTTCTTGATGATAGACATATTGTCTGCAGTGATATGGAATCTCAGTGTTGTTTTAATTTGGATCTCTTGGGTGACCAGTGATGCTTAACAGTTTTCTCATATTTATTTGCTATTTGTACTTCTTCTCCTGAAAAGTGTATGCTCATCTCAGATGCCCATTTTTGAATTGAGTGTTTAAATTTGGAGGATCTGATTTTTTCAATTCTGTGTATGCTCCAGATATTAGTACTTTGTCTGAAGGACAACTGGCTAAAATTCTTCCCATTTTGTGTGTTGTCTTTTCGGTCTATTGGTAATTTCTTCTACTGTGTAAAAAACCTTTTAATAGGATGAGATCCAAGTTGTATTCTTTGTTGTATTCCCATGTGATCAGAGTTTTGTTTGTGAAATCTACATCTATGTCTTCAAGAAGAACCAATATTCTTAAAATGCAAGAATATAATATGTAATAGAATTCTTAAAATGTAATAGAATTCTTAATTCTATTATGAACAATGATGTGTAGATTTGATACAGTTCCAATTAAAATACCATCATCTTCACAGTACTAGAAATACAATTCTAATATCTATATTAAACTCAAGAAATTATGAATATGAAAAGCAATCTGCAGAAATATGGCCAGGCATAGTGGCACACGCCTGTAA